GGAAGTGGCAAGGACCTCCAGGAAACCACAGCCCAGCAGAGAATCCCCCCAGGAGTGAGAAAAAACACCTGCACGGAGTGTGGGAAAACCTTCAGTAGCTGCTCAGCTCTTATTACACATCAGAGAATCCACATGGGCAAGACACCCTATAGATGCTGCGAGTGCGGGAAAAGCTTCAATCGGAACTCGCACCTTAGTAGACATCGGAGACTCCACACAGGACAGAGACCCTTTAAATGCTCCGAGTGCGGGAAAAGTTTCAGCGTGAGCTCAAACCTTATTGCACATCAGACAATCCACACAGGAACCAGACCCTTTACCTGTTCTGAGTGCGGGAAAAGCTTCAATCGGAACTCAAACCTTATTACACATTTTAGAATCCACACGGGCAGTAGACCTTTCACATGTGCTGACTGTGGGAAAAGCTTCACTGACAGCTCAAACCTTACTCAGCATCAGAGAACACATGTGGGGGAGAGACCCTATAGATGCTCAGAGTGCGGGAAAAGCTTCACTCGGAGCTCAGACCTTATTAGACATGAAACAATCCACACAGGAGACAGACCCTTTAAATGCTCAGCGTGTGGGAAAAGTTTCAATCAGAACTCACACCTTATTACGCATCAGAGGATCCACAAGGGAGAGTAACCCCATAAATAGCTTGGCTAGGGCTGGCCGAAGTTTTTTTTTATAATACATTTGCTATTTCCCACATAGTGACCTTTAAAGCTGTTTGCACCATTTGCTTCACTGTGGTCCCTCAGCTCCCCCAGGTGAATTGCCCGCTTTTGCTGCTCATCTTTCTTTGGGGTGAAGCCCATTGTCCGTTCTATCAATTCCTTGATATCCTGTAAGGCATGGGAGTGTGTGCCCCTCCTGACAAGAATGTCCGTCAGTCCCAGATAGGGAGATAGGGATGACCTCAACTAGCTACATTGAGGTAAAATCTACTTGGACTTTGTCTCTACTAGGGTTTTCCGTGGAGTTAGCAAGCTTGAGTAGCTAACTATTTTTGCAGTAAAGACATAGCCCTGCTAAAATGGTTGGGGTTAGCTAGCGCATTTCTCCTTAAGCTGACCCAACCTCCATCACTCTTCCTAGTGCAGACAATCCCAAGCATCACATTTCTATTTACTCCTGCGGGAACTCTGCGCCAAAAAAATAAAAATTCTGCACACAATATTTTAAAATTCTGAAAACAAACACTACATAATCATGCCAGTTTCAATTATTTTGGTAATTTATTTCAAAATACCTGTCAGCAAGTATGACTGTAACAATACAGACACACACAAAAATTCCCCCAGGAGCAGAGAGTTAAAGAAACCTCTATGACAACCTAGTTCCTGTTTCTCCGCCCCACCCCGCCCCCACCCAGAGCCCAGCCGGGTGGTCAGAGCCCATCCGTGGCCCCCTCAGGCCAGACACCAGCTCCCCCCTTGAGCCCAGCTGTGACACACACCCCTGGCCAGACACCAGCTCTCCTCCCCCCCCTGACCAGCTGTGGCCCCCCTAGGCCAGACACCAGCCCCCCTCCCGTGCAGAGCCCAGCCGTGGTCCCCCCCAGCCCAGGCACCCATCCCCCTTCCACCCAGAGCCCAGCCGTGGTCCTCCCAGCTCAGACTCCAGCCCCCTACTGGCCACGGATCCAGAGGGAGAAACAGCCTGTTGCTGGGTCCCAGGCTTGTGTGGAGTTTCCTGCACACCGCCCTCTCCTTCCCTCGGGGCGTGCAGGGAATTGCAGCTGCCGGGAACTCTCTCCCCCGGTCCTCCCCACCCCTGCAGTGTCTTGTGTGTGCAAGCAGGGCTTAGCCGGGTCCAGCGGCCCCTGCTGGCGGCCAGCAGCATCGCAGCCTATTTCTAGGGGGGAAAGGAAATTATGCGTAAAAACCATTAATTTCTGCAAAATTCTGCATTGCGCAGTGGCACAGAATTCCCTCAGGAGTATTCTTGTTCCCCCACTAGCAGAGTCATTGTCAGAGTACTCCCTCACTGCTACGGCTTTAGAATTTATTCTATCCCTCCGCCTCTCAAAGTGTCATGTGACACACTGTTCTCAGCTCTCTGTGCTTAGGAATCACATACTTGTAAGCACTGGAGATGAAAGTGTCACAGACCTAGAGGGGAAATTTGAGTGGATCCCAAAGCCAGTGTGATCGTTCTGATCTTAAATCCCAGTTTCCATTGATTGAAAAAGTGACTTTGGGGCTTTTTCCTGCTGAGCAGATGGAAAAACTGCTGTTTTCTCCCATTTCAATTATGCTAAAACTTTTGAAAATAATGATGAGGTGGTGTTGAGTGAAGCAGGTTTGAATGGATCATAGGAGAACACAGTGGGAGAATTTGTCCTCCTGGCTTTTGAATCACTAGATAGAACCTCCTCTGGAATTTCATAGTGTATTACACGGTAATTGTCATATTTCTCTGCATTATGGATTTTTCTCTCTTTCCTGAATGCCGTTTGGTCACGTAACTGGATATTTTGTTGGACAGAATGTAGATCAGATTTATTAGAGACTTTGAAACACATTACCATTTGCTAAAATAGTCTTGTGATTTTTTTCCCATCCCTCCACGGTGACAGAGAGGAAATTCTTTCAGTCACCGGGAGAGAATACTCCAATTTATTGGGCATGCTACCAAGGAACTAGTTGTGTATTTTAAATCTCCATACTGAAATGGTGAACAACAGTACACCACAAACGGTGCAACTCGCTGAAGTAATTGGATATGATCACGCTGTTGTTCAGTTGGTTGGGTCAATAACGTGTCAGATGATCTGGGGGGAGAATTTCACAGGAAGTGACTTGGAACTAGGCAAAACATTTGGTTCCCAAAACAGTTGTGGCCCAGGCAGGTCCGGATTAAAAAATTTTGGGGCCCCCTCCCCACCTTCCTTAAACTAGACAGAGCATGTGATATACTATATGTAAATAGGAGATCCTCTTCATTTATGATGAGGATGACTGTCAGAGTTAGAGCTTTCTCAGCAGAAAATACAGAAGCACCACTGAAAGTGAAATGATTGTGTCTTATGCTAACTTATACAGTAGCCTAGTGTATTTTGAGATTTAGAAAGAACACAAACAGAATTTGAATATAAGAATAAAAATTAGCCCCACCGAGTTTAAAAAAGCATTACCGTGTGCTGTGCTGCATGTTTCATGTACTGGAAGAAAACGTATGTTTAATATATTTTAACGTGTTTTGTTTGTTTAGGGTTTTTTGTTAACTACAATGCTCCATTTTTACCTAGTCGTTTGTTCACTTTGTTACCCTTTTTTAACAAACCCCTAATAATTATTTTTTATAGAATGCTTCAGACTATAACATGCACCTGGTGTATTAAACTAAATTGGTGTGTTCAATTCTCAAACAATTTTTCAATCATATTTTTATGCCCTGGGTGGAGAAAGCATTGCTGCTGGGCCCGATCCTTCCGACTTTACTCTTTTGAAATCAATGGGATTAGTTGTGTGTGCAAGGACTGTGCGAACTAGACTAACTCTTATTTTGCAACAAGTTTAACAGGGTTTGTTTTGTTTTGTTTTTTGCTTTTTAAGTGTAATCAGCTGGGCATTGTGCCAAAACTCCGGTGATTATAAATGCAAATTTGTGTGTGTGTGTGTGTGTGTGTGTGTGTGTGTGTGTGTGTGACTTTTTCTCACTACACACACACAGACATCTGAGAATCCAGGATTGAGCACCAGTCAGTAGTTTAGGGACACTCAAAGCATGGGGTTGCATCCCTGACCATCTTGGCTAATGGCCATTGATGGACCGATCCTCCCTGAACTTATCTAGTTCTTTTTTGAATGCACTTAGGGCTAGTCTATGCTACCACACTACATCGGGACAGCGGCATTGCTGCAGCGTGTCTGGTGAAGACATGCTATGCTGACAGGAGAACGCTCTCCCATCAGCATAAGTACTCCGCCTCAATGAGAGGCGGAAACTGTATCGGTGGGAGAGTGTCTCCCACCAACATAGATTGGTGTAGACACTGCTTCAAGTTGATGTAACTTACGTCACTCGGGGGGTGGCTTTTTCACAACCCTGAGCAACGTAATTTACATAGACTTAATCAGAGAGGGCAGTGCAGAATGGGGAAGAAAATTGGCAGCATGTGACCTCCAGAAGAAGAAAGAGGAGAACCCACATACCCCCAGTGCAGAGAGAGGTAAGAAACCGTTTTCAGGCTCTCTGCACAGGTACTACGGTGGAGAATGGTTTGGTAGAGTCATCTGAGGGAAGGGATCAGAAGGAGACCCCATTGACCAGAGGGCATGGGATGCATTGTCCTAGGGACGGGGGTTCCATGATCACCACTTCCAAGAGGAGGAGACGGGTGGTGGTGGTGGTCGAGGACTCCCTCCTAAGGGGGATGGAGTCATCCATCTGCTGTCCAGACCGGGAAACTCGAGGGCAATAAAAATGACCAGGGGGCTGGGGCACATGATTTATGAGGAGAGGCTGAGGAAACTGGGCTTGTTTAGTCTGCAGAAGAGAAGAGTGAGGGGGGATTTGATAGCAGACTTCAACTACCTGAAGGGGGTTCCAAAGAGGATGGAGCTAGGCTGTTCTCAGTGGTGGCAGATGACAGAACAAGGAGCAATGGTCTCAAGTTGCAGTGCGGGAGGTCTAGGTTGGATATTAGGAAACACTATTTCACTAGGAGGGTGGTGAAGCACTGGAATGGGTTACCTAGAGAGGTGGTGGAATCTCCATCATTGGAGATTTTTAAGAGCAAGTTAGACAAACACCTGTCAGGAATGGTCTAGATAATACTTAGTCCTGCCATTAACGCAGGGGACTGGACTAAATGACCTCTCGAGGTCCCCGCCAGTCCTATGATTTCTATGATAGTCAAGCTGATAACTACTCCAGTGTCTATCAAAAAATCCCTCATAGGGCGCCCCTTGATTGCCCCCTGGAGCATAGGGCAACTGGATACGTCCCGTCCCAGACTGAGGATATGGACAGGATGCCTCCCTGGGCACCTCTAGGTTATAGTCTCCCCCTCCTGACCATTCTGAGAACAAGAACACTCCTGTCTCCTAGCAAAATGGTGTGCCTGACACTGCAGGCAATGCCAGTCCCCTGGTCTCCGTGACCACACGCCCCTGCCAATCTGCTGAGATCCTGGGTAGCCAGTTTAGCGTGAAGTCTCTGAATCTGCTGTTCTATTGCTGCCTACTCATCCCTGACTACCCACCCGAAATCATGGCCCCACGGGCGGTGGGTATAATAGACCTGGAGAGGCTCAGCCGCCCCTGGTGCAGCCACTGCCGCCGGACGCCAGTTGTGTTTTGGGTGGGGGAAATCTTTGCTGATTATTATGCCTTTTACTGTCAATACGCTTCACAGTCTGAGCAGGGCAGCCCCAGGTGAAACAGGCTCTGGATGCTGAACATCCCTCTCATCCAAGAACTCCTGCCTCCTTCCCACTGGAAGTATTATTATGGTGAGCAGCACCAGGTGGCCTTTCTTGTTACACAGGCTGATGAGTTCTTGTTCAGTCTCTTTGGAAGACAATCTTGTGCATTCAGTGATGCAGTTGTCCTAGGAGAGAAGCTGTGGCAGACAGCAGCTGCTGTGTCTCTGTATTCGGAGGCAATTCTTGGCACGGAGTAGCTTCCTGGGAAGCAGGCGTTGGTGCATGCTGAGATTTCGGGAGGAGGGGATTTCCCGTGGGCTGTTTGCCTCTGTTCCAGGACTGCTGTATTTGTGTTAATAAAGCAACTCACACTTAGAATTCACCCAGCCTCTGTACACTGATTTCTCCTCCACTGGGAAGCTGACCGGCAAGGCCCAGGACATCTCTCGCTCACCAGAGGGGCAACCCTTGTATCAGGAGGATAATATCAAGGCTGGCCTTACAGATGGGTGACATGGGTGACCAACCAGGGCACCGTGGTCAAGAGGCAAGGAGGGGGGTTGGCCTGGGGTGCGAGGCTGCAGAAAGGAGCTCAGGGCAGTGAGGGAGGAGGCAGCGGGGCCCTGGGATGACGGGGAGCCCAGGGGAGCAGCATGGTCCAGGGGTGATGGGGGGAATGGGTGGGGAGCCCAGGGAGGCAGTGGGGTCCAGGGGCAATGGGGGGAGGGAGGGGAAGCAGTGGGAGCCAGGGGATGGGGGGGAGCCCAGGGAGGCAGTGGGAGCCTGGGGTGATGGAGAGATGGGTGGGTGGCCCAGGGAGGCAGTAGGGGTCAGGGGTG